AAGGAAATCAAGCAACCTTAAGTATATCGGCTGTATAGGAGCATATTCTATTGCAGAAGACCTTCCTACGAAGATCATGGATTCAAATATGGGACATTTGAACTAATACTTGGACTTTGATATGAATTTCTTTAACAGTTTTCTCTGCAGTGCAAGTTATTAAACTAAAGCTACTCTATTTCCCCAATGTGTTCAACAAAATCCTTAACTTCTAGCATGGTATCTTAATAAAGAATAAAGTTCTTCTCGTTAAAAAATCTGCTTTAAGTAGATTTTTCCCCCAGGTTTTCTTAATTAAGGATTCCAAGAGTGGTATTCTTGAATTCTTGCATTGACATTTTTATTGCAGTGGTATGGATGAATGCCACCATTGGTATCCTTAAATTTTATTTCTGCTCACGAAGGTTAATCATGATTGTCTATATAGTAATCACTTTTGAATTGTGTTCAGATACAGCAGTTTCAGGTGTAATCATCAGAGCTGGTTAGTCAGGCATTCCAGATAGTGGTTCTTTTCAGAACCTTTTTTAAAGGGTTGGTTAACTACCTCAGTAGCAGAGGATTGAACTATACCCTGTCTGTACTGTACATAGAAAATCTTTGTAGATAAAAGCAAGGCTTGTTTAATATGATATGAGGGTAAGATTATAATATACCAAATGTAACATTCTTAGTTGCCTTTAGTTTCAGAGGCTTTGTAAGAGATTTCCTCATGACCATCATAACAGGCCTTGCTTTTGTCGTATTTTGTGGCTGAAAAAGCAGCCTTGCTTCTTCAGATATTGTAGTTATTTGGATGTATAATAGTTTAGCAAGATGTTACTTTTGTAAGACATCAGATGTTCAAAAAAAGTGCATCAGCAACTTGTACTAAATACTGCAGTGTCCCTTTATAAAAGGTCAGACTAAAACTGACAAGTGTACAGTGAAGCCTGACATTTGGATATTTTGAAGTTTTTCATAAATCATAGAATAGTATATGGCTGTAGGTTAGCTTTTTTAGGTAAAAGGTTTGTTTTCATTAGTGCATTTCTTATTGCTGATCGCTGTAAAAACATGTGGATCAGCTTTCCATTTCTCTTATGCAGATCATGATAACCTGTAGAGTAGAGTAGAGTACAATCATTTGTGCTATGTTTTTAATTTTCTAAAGCACCTTGATGACAGTGAGTGTTCAGTGGTGAAGCATCCTCTATTGAATCACCCTTCAAAAGAACTTGTCAAGTCCAAACTCCATATAGGTAAAAATAAGTGAAATTACAATTTTTAATTTGGACTTGACACAAAGAGCTTCCCTTAACCCCTTCCCAAAGGGATACTGCAGTTATACTACATACCCATAGGCACCACAATTTAAATTGAAGCTTATACTGAATTAAGGTTTTATACACACCAGTTCTCCCCAGTAAATGCAAATTTTAACAAAATTAGACATGTCATATGTTGAAAATGCTCATGGCAAACAATCATTTTGCATTCCTGCAAATAAAATTGTTTTATACTGTAAGCTGGAGGCGAGTGTAACTTATTTTTGTAATAAAGTTTTTATTTTTTTTATGTGTCATTAATATAAATGTGTGTTAGTACAGAGATCTTCTGGTTTAAAAACTTAGAACCACACACATTTCGGTATGTTTACTTGTAATTACATAATTTTTAGAATAGTGGTTGCCAATAGCCTGTATGTTCACATTAATTGAATTTTTTGTTATCTTAATAAACCATTTTAGTATGTTGTATGTCAATTACTGGGATAGCTGGGACATGAAGTGTAATTTAAAATTGTCAAGTATTCATTGGAATATGTAAATATGTGCCTTGCCAGTTATGAACCTTAGAAAACCTAAGTGGATGATGGTGAAATGAGACACTTGCTACCAGTTTCATATACTGCCCGTGCTAAAGAAATTTCTTCCTTTTTCTCACATGTGATCCTAAAAGTATAAGATTGCATCAGCTTCTAAAACTTTAAAGTGATAGAATATTAGGCTTATGGAAAGTGGATTTGCTAAATGTAGCCTTAAGTTTTTAATTTTTGAATTTCAATGTAATCCTTGGTGCTGGCAGTTCCCAGTGCCAAGGAGTTAAACGCTCCCTTCAAAGAGGTTGCCATGCCTACTGGCATTTTTACTGTCATATGGTTTTATAAGGAGCACTGTCAAGGTGTTTAAACTGAATCTGGGACTTGCTATTTAAAGTTGTTATAAACTAACTGGGGGCCATGGGAGAAGGGGAGTCCTCCAATTTTGAAATCTCTCCATTGCTTGAGAAATTTTGAAAAATGCTTTCATGGGCTCATAAGTGCCACTCTTACTCTGAAAAAATTGAGCACTTACTCTTAGAGGAGCTGCAACAATTGGCACTGGTGCATAAAAATTTGACACTGAGGCATGTAAGGTTGAAATTGTGGACAAATCTATCAATTTCAGCTCTGTTCAAAATTCAGGGGGGAAATACTGGCAAATGTCAATTGTTAGGAAAGTGTGTTTGTTTTTATGGAATGAAAGCAATGGTGAGTAAATAAAACTATCAGGATCTTGACAGTGTTCTTTTTAATAATTATGAACTCAAGCCATTATATCTTTTAAAATTAAATATGATTTGCACTGTTCTGATATTGGTGCAGTTTTTTAGCTAAACTATCAGAAAGCTGAAGTAAAATGCATGTGGTAACTAATATTGTGGAAAAAACTGAAGCTTTCAAAAATGTTAAGATGCTTTCATAGCTTTAAATTCAGTTGTGTAAAGGAAAAAACAAACTTCAGTATTAAGTACTGATAGAGATTGGGCAGGTGTGTAGATAAGGCATTGGTTTGGTTGCACTGGGTGCTGGTAAACTTGAAATGTTCTACAGCAATAATGCAGTTTTTATGGAATACAATGGTGTTTATAAATGAACATAATATACACTTTCTATCAGCATGCTGAAGGCAACTGTCTGCTATCTGATGTATTATATTATCTGTGGTTGTGTTCATAGGGTTTTTTCCCACTGAAATACTTGCAAAGAATGGAGAGTAGAAGCTAGTAAACATTCCACAGTAGCTTGTGCAGATGAGTTCCAAAATTTACAGGATAGCTCGATTAGTGAAAAAATGAGAAGCCTCTGTTGCCTAACACTTCTGGTTTATAAACACTTCAGTGCAGGGCATTTTAAATCATACTTCTGTTTTCTTAACACTTGCTAGAAAAGATTCATACAGGCCTGTTTTTATATCATTCAAAACTTAGTTTGTGTTTGGAGTCAGAAGATGACCACTTCTCTGATTCCCTTCCACCTCTTAAGGTTTTTTTATTATGATTATTTTAATCTAAGCCATTTAACTACTTTTTCCATGTACCTGACTCTCCTTACACTACAGAGCTAAAATACAAGATATTTTTTGTTAAAGAAAATAGAGGTAGAGGCATCAGGAAAAATAAAGTAATTGAAAAGTACACAAACCTCAAAACAAAATTGCTAACTTAAATCAGGCTCCTGTATGGATGTATTTTCTGCTTTAATTGAAACATCTTTATCTGTTTTGTTTCACTTTGTGTTTTTGGCAGTTCTTGTAGTTGATTTGTATGTTCCCCCTTTGTAGTCAGGCAGTTATTCTGTTTTGTGCTTTCTACAACAAAAAGCGGAGAAGCCTTCTTTTAAAAGAAAATGAAGATTAAAATATTGCAGTGCATGACACTTATCATATGTTCTCTAAACTCACTTTCCACTTGATTAGTGCCCCTGTCATAGTACAAGAATATTGTTACTTTTACAAATTAGCAAGTATTTGATGAGGATGTCCAGCAGCAGCAAGCATTGGGGAATAAATATACCAAATGAGAAAAAGCTATATATCACAAATTCTCTATAGAGGTCTAGAAACTGCTGCTTGGACAAGTATGAAGCATGAATTTGTAATTTTGCAACTGCCACTGTGGGGAAAATAATTTGCCTACATGGAGTCATTTGTTGAATTCAATTTCAAACTGTTAACAAGGCGTCTTGGGGTATGTTGTGACTGCTTTAACTGGTCACAAGTTTGAGAATACTGGCTCTAGCAGCTGAGCCAGAATTTCTAGTGCCATCCTGCTGAGTGGTTCCCCCCCCCTTGCTTTTCCCTTAACTTCGCTTGCCAAATAAAAATGAAATTATTTCCCTAGTCAAATTTTATTCTGCATGGCCTCTTATAGCATTTGAGAAGTGCTGCATATGGCTGCTCTGAACTTTTGTAGGGAGGGGGTGGAAAGAAGGGGAGAAAAAGGGAGACAGCAGAAGGAATAAATGATTTAAATTTTATCCTGCAGTTTTATGATGGGAAGTGTCAGGCTGCCACAAACTCTGCCCCACCACACTAAACTATTTTGTGAGAGTTTGAGACATTACCATCTAACCAGAACAAGGGCAAATTTTGCATTTGACCTGTATTCAGAAATATGGGGTGAAAGAAGCTGAACCTACAACTTTTACCCCTTGTCTTGAAAAATGATTGTAGATTGTCATTACCATCATATTTTAATTTGGAAAAAGACACTTGTCACACACAGCGGCTTCTTCCCTTAGCTAAGACTTGTCTAACTAATGCAAAAAAGCACTGGTTGTGAGGGAGGCTAAGATGCCCAGTCATCAGATTGGATCCTGCTCAGCTGAACTCTGGAAACACTTGTGGACACTAGTGTTAAATAAGGGTATAATCAAGATTTCTTTAGGCTTTAAGATCCCCCAACTGTGCAGCAAATGCTACTAACTTTGTTGGATAGCAACAACTGTGAGAGAGCAGTATTCTGCAGTTCCAAAATTCTAGGAGTGCTGACTATAACTGATAGGTAAGTAAAGACAACTTGCTGAATCTTCACTACTTGTGAATGTCTGGAGACTTAGCTTGGTTTCATGTGGTTGGGAATTCCAAAGATGTAATATGTGTTTCTGTGACTCCGTAAGATACTTGCTTTTGTGAATGCTAGTCAGTGCTATCTGTTCCAAGTCACTTGTTACAAGGTGACATTTAATTGGTAGCTAACTAGCCAAAACCAGAAGTGCCAGCAGCATTGACTGCACTTAAGCTGAAAATGACTGTCTAGCCAAGGGTTTGGTGAAATTTACCTGTTTGCATAAACTTGTACACCTTTAACAGGACGTCAAGAACCATAAAAATCTGATCTTTTAATATAAGTGAACTGTTCCATTACTGTGTTACCAACTACCTTTAATACAAAAATAACTTAATGTGTTCATCTCAAACTGCTTTGTAAAAGGTTTTTATTGCACTTGGAGGGTGGGGGGAGGGTTGGGTCAGGGTATTTTTTTTTTTTTTGTTTCATGATAAAATTCCCTAGATCCTCTTCTAATTTGTTCTGTGCGCCCTTAATACCTTGTTTATTTCTAACTTTTTTTTGTGTGCCAAACTGTTTCAAGTGCTTGGCTTTTTTATTTATCTCTTGATCAAGTTCCATATTTTGTTTATATCCATCACTATTAAACACCCCTGACATATGTTTTGTATAATATTTTCCTTATTTCAGTGTTGCTTCCCTCTTATCACTAATAGATAGAAGAACTTAATAGGACTTACAAGCATCTCTGTCCATTCTGGGAAAATATGTGCATTCAGCATATTTCTGCTATTTATCCTAGTAACTGTGTGAGTGCACAAATTATTTTGACTTAACAGAAAATAGGGAATGGTGGAAAATTGAAAGGATTCTGGATAAATATTCCAGCATTTCTGAAAGTGTTCTTCAACACCTTAAAATTGTTTTTAGTGATCCATTTTAGCTCAACTCTTTATCTGTACCCTAAGTGCAGTGCAGAATGAGTGTAAATTTTTTCAAAATACTCTAAAATGTTTCAAACTAATTTTGACATCTTTTAATAAGCAATATACTTCTCATCTGAGGTTCTTTAAAATACTTCTTGGACATTAAACTTCAGAACACCTCTGTAGGATAAGCCTGTGTACTTTTAATGGTAAGTAAACAGTCACAGGAGCCAAGAGATTTGGCAACGTAACGTAAGTTATTAGTGGGAACAGAACGACTTGTGGCTTTCACTTTAATTTTCTAAAATCTTTAGATCTCTTCATAACAAAAATAAAAACGTTCCAGTTCTGAATGTATTCTAGTTTGCAAGATGGTTCTTTGATTCCCATACAAAACTAGATTTCTGTATGTGTGATGAAGTTTTCTCAAGTGGCTACTTGAAAAGTCATCTTTTCCTCTCATCTTGGAAAAAGCCAGTTGAATTGATCTATCAAAAAGTACTGAAATGTACATATTTATCCAACTATTTTTCTTGTAAGAGTTATTCCCAGGTAGGTTAAATATGCAGTAGAAGTGATAAATGTCCTTCCTGCTCAGTGTTTTAAACAAATAAGGGGGCACACATAACAAAGCTTAGCTTATTTGATTACAGACCAGAGCCAGCACTAGAAAGTGTTCTGTACATTGTATGTAAATACTCTGTTTTTCAAACAGGCTACTGTCATTGGTATTCTACAGTTCTACGTGTCAGAAGCCTAGACTATATGGTGGACTTTATTAGTAAATATACTAAAAATCATGTCTGCTCTGGCATATCATGATTTAAGTATTTCATATAGGCGGCTGGCACAAACATTTGAAATAGAGTTTTAGTTGGTTCACAGTTTGCATGCTGCTCATTTAATAGTTTTTAAGAGCAACTTGTGTTATAGACTTTCTGCAAGTCTTGTTTTCTTGCAAAAAGAAACTTGTCACTCGTGTCCTTTCCCACTGGCGTCTATCATTTTGACCACCAAATAGTAATTTCTGACTTGACTTTGGCAACCTGTTTATTGTATGCTAGCAAAATTCTGAGAAGGTTGTATGTGATAGAAGTAAAGGCCTGTAGTTGCAGGCACACTTGCACCCCTACCTTTCTGTTCCCACCTACACCCAGACAGCTTACAAAAATCTCTTACAACTCCCCTCACTTCCAGAGACCTCACTCAAAATAACATAGGGTAGGTAGCTAGTATGCTGCTTTCTAGGTTGGTTTAGGAAAGTGATCTCAGGTTGGGTTTGGGACTGTGAACCCTGCCTAAAAATTTTCTGTCCCCTTGCCCACCCCGGAACCATTTTTCTTTTGATGATCTCAAAATCAGTATTCCATTTTAAAGATTGAGGAAATCTGGTATCTAAAATAGAGCTAAAAGTAGAGGGGAGACAGTCAGGACTGCTCACTGGGGAATGACATGGGGGAGACAAAAAAGAGCAAATATTCTCCAAAAGAATGGAAACTGGTGTTCCTTCCTTAGATGCAGTAGTGGCTATATTCAGGAATTGACCTGGAGTGTAGCTGGCTTGGCATGGACAGCAGACTTTTCCCCTAAGCTTCTCAAACCTTACAGTTGCCCCATAGGAATGAAAAAAGTAGTTTTTAAGTCAGTTTTAACATTAAAAGCTATTTGCCCAGTATCACTGTGTAGTCTGCTGTTGCTTATATATCTATGCTGCTTGCCTTTCCCACTTGACCTACTTAGATTTCATTTATTCTTGCATTTGGTATGCATCAAATACAGTAAGAGCACCAAATCTTCCAGAACCAGCAATATCTACTGTGATCTGGTTTTGAGGTCAATGCAATTGATGAAATACACACATGGCAGCCACTCCACTTTCAAAGTCAGTATGTCACCTGTCTGGCCTAGAACTTAGTGGTGTTCCTGTAATGATAGGAGAGCTACTGACATGTGCATGCAGCTTTTTCATTTACCCTGTGCGTGGGAGAGTGGGAGGATAAAGAAGTGATGCCTGAAGCAGCTGTATAGCACTGCCAAGCCTATGCTGGCTAGCACTACAGAAGAAAGAGACTTGGGGGTCATCATTGACCACAAGATGAACATGAGCCTGCAATGTGGTGCTGCAGCTAGTAAAGTGAGCAAAACACTGGCTTGCATTCATAGATGCTTCTCAAGCAAATCCTGGGACATCGTTCTCCCCTTGTACTCAGCCTTGGTGAGGCCACAGCTGGAGTACTGCATCCAGTTTTGGGCTCCACAATTCAAAAAGGATGTGGAGAAGCTTGAGAGTCCAGAGAAGAGCCATGTGCGTGATCAGAGGTCAGGAAAATGGACCTTACGATGAGAGGCTGAGAGCCATGGGGCTCTTTATCCTGGAAAAGCACAAGCTGGGGGTGATCTGATGGCCACCTATAAATTTATCAGGGGTGGCCACCAGTATCTGGGGGAATGTTTGTTCACCAGAGCGCCCCAAGGGATGATGAGGTTGAACAGTTACAAACTACTGTAAGACCGTTTCAGGCTGGACACAAGGAAGAATTTCTTTACTGTCTGAGCCCCCAAGGTCTGGAACAGCCTGCCATTGAAGGTGGTTCAAGCACCTGCATTGAACACCTTCAAAAGTAAATTGAATGCTTATCTTGCTGGGATCCTATGATCCCAGGTGACTTCCTGCCCTTCGGGCAGGGGGCTGGAATTGATCTTCTGAGGTCCCTTCCAGTCCTAATGTCTATGAAATCAGATACTCTGCTTTGAATGTTTACGTATGAATCATACCTGTGTGTATGCATGCCCTCTGCACAAAAGAGGAAAAGCCCAGGATCCAGAGCAGCGGTTCCCAGCCCCAGGTCGTGGGGGCAATGCCAGTGGTGCCGCACAGAAAAGATGAGCCATGATGCTGCATGCTTGGAGCTCCCCTGACCATGGGCTGCTGCCGCTGCACTCTGCTCCCAGCAGCAGGCGGTGGGGGGAAGGTTGGGAACTATTGATCATCCTTCCCATTCTTCCTTTTGCTGCTTGGCATGTTGAGGATAGATGAGACAAAGGCTGATATTCAGCATACTCTAGCTGACCTTTTAACTTCTGATCAGTATTTGCGTAATTGCCACTCCAGAAAGAACTAATCTAATGGAACGGCTGAAAGATGATTCTAGAGCTAATATCCTTCCTTACTATTTAGTTTGTGCATGTGACGTTAATGGCTATCTGCTGCTCATCTGAAGTCCATAGCAATA